ACGTGAAAGTTAGTGGGGTAAATGGAAACGACCATGTAAAATAGCTGGAAAGCTAGGAGTTTCTTGGAAATCAGTTTCTACTTGAAGGACACCTCTCACAAAAAAGTTTGCGCTTATAAAAAGATGCAGGATATTCTTCTCTACAATACCAGAGAAACTCTCACTTGTAATCATATTTTCCTAACATGATTTTCAAGTTTATATCCTGCGCGATATGAAAAATATCAATTATCAGATAATTTGTCAGTTACTAGCAAGAATTTTGTCTTTTCCTAATAAGTACGTTTCATTTTGACTCTTGAAAATTGATCTAAAAAAGTTGTGATCGAAAGCTCGAGTGTTTAAATAAATTCAGAAGAATTTTATTATAATTTTCATAGCAGTATTATACTTTATATTTAAAACGTTTCATTTTACACTTAAAAGCGAACAAATTTTATGAGCTTTTTAATACTGTTAAGTAATTTGTTCAACAGTTTAATTGGGAATGGAATGAAATTATTTTTGAAAAAGTCCTCCGTGAAATCTATGCAGTGGTGCGAGCGCTTGACTACGCCTAGGATACGTATTAGGTTATGGATTTTCATTTTTAAAGAGCTGCATCAATATTTGCAAGATTTGAAGAGATCGACTGATGTTTCTAAAATCGACATTTATTCATGGGCTGCGAAAGATAAATATTCAATAAAAACCTAAATGAAAATATTAAAACTGAAGTCCATTAACAGATATTGTCCTCAATTCTTAATGTTTCTTTCTCTTCTTTAGCAACTATACTTCATTTATTGTGTGACTGAAATGTCTAGCTCTTACCAGGATCAGTGTCAGTGGGTAAAAAAATGTCATTTCGTTTTGCTGATTGAAAAGTATAGAAGCAAATAGAAAATCGACACATCGTTTTGTATAGGTTGAAAATCATTTTTCTTCGATGATGTCGATTTTTCTTTCGTTCTTAAGCTTGACCTAACTCCAGAGCAAACATGAGAGATTGCTATTAATACCGGAGATGGCGATTATGTTTCTTTTGTGTTTTTTTCTGCTCGCTTTAAAGTGTGATATCATTGTATTGTTATTGCAAAAATATATCAATATCTGGTTCGTAGTAGAAATATCTTGTTCAAGGTAAATATATCTGATTCAAGGAGAAATCTCGCTAAACTGAGAGGTAAGGCAGCTTTTTCATCGAAATGTAGCTGATTATATCTAATCAATCAGCTGATTTGGAATATGATAGTGCATCCCAAGCAAAAACGCCACAAGTTTTTGCTTGCGATGCTTCATAGGAAGTTTTGGAAAATTGATGAGGTCCAAAAGCCCGATCTTCTATGACATGGCCATTTTTCAGCATACATCGGATCAAAAAGTCGTGAAAATTCATGAGCATATACCGATCGATGTTTATTCAGATGTCGTATGGTATTACAATCTATGATGTCGGATGCTCTTGTTCGCACTTGATACTTTGTATGAATGGTTGTCAGACTCGATGGGTGTTGCAGTCACGTATGTTTAAAGAAAAAAGTTGGTCTTATTGATATAACCTATTTATTTGAGAGTGAGGAGTTCATACATAGCTTATGCTAGTCGGCCTTACTTACTCGTGAGGTTCCATCTAGTGACCATAATATTTTGGTATTTACTGCCGTTTCAGTTCATTCAAAGGACTAAGCATCAGCTACCGATTTAAAGACAACGAAAATGAAATTCATTATCATGGTGAATATATCACTGATATTATGCTTATTAATTCAATATGGTGCATCAAAAGAATGTCGGTGTTATTGTTGTCCTTCTGGTGGGTGTGCAATTAATTATGTTGGTTCCTATGACGTTGACAGGAGGTGTGTAGGCTGTGCACCATCTGGATGTGAAAGGAAATATCCAGCAGAATGTACGTTTGGGCCATCTGGTGGTAGAAGTAGGGCTCAATGTGGTGCACAACAAATATTTAATCGACGTAATGCTATACGGTCGATACTGGCAATAATGTTTGTTAAGACACTTCTTATGTTTTAATTTAATTTAACTTTAAGAAACATGCGAATAAAAACAGAAACTGTTTTTTCAGCCTTTTCTTGTTCCTCAGTTGCCTTTCCAGATAGGTTACTCAGTAACCTTACTAGAGTTCACGTTAGGTTTCATTCAGATATCCCTCACTTGTTAGGTAGTTACTGAAGGCGGATCATACAGCAAGTTCTTGTGCGTCTGTATACGGACATTCCGGGGTGTAATGTAGACAGCATCCTTCATGCTGTCAATACGTGGGTTAATATATCGGGCAATAATTGGTCAATATATCGAATTTCATAGCTAGTGGCGCAGTGCCATCAGATACTGTCCACAATATATCGACAAAATAGCTTCTCAGGTCAGTGTTTTTCGTCAACCAGATATATCGGATACGATATCTATTTCAAGATAGTAGCCTAGCAGCTAGAGTTGTCATACCCTCGGGTATGATATAGTTGGCTAACTCAATAAAAGCGGTACGGATAACTAGCTGTCACAAGCCGATATTGCCCGATAACGTATTTTTATAGCTAGATATTCTCAAAGGCATTTTTTTGCTTGGCAGAGAAGTTTCAACTGACCTTTTTTTTCTCGTTAGTGGTACTTCCAATTCTTCTTATAATTCTTTTTATAAGCTTACGGATACCGATGAAGTAGACTATTGGTCAGTCAAGGTATTATAAATCTAATGTAGTCATGTACCTCTGTGTTTGTAGAGAGTCTGATGGGCATCAAATGGTTGTACACAAAAATCAATTTTTTTTCTGCAACGTAGTTGCTCTTTTTATCTAAATGCTAATGTCATCTCTTATTCATAATAAGCAAATTCTTTTTTATTATATTTTATTAATAAAACTTAATGATGCTTTAGTAACTTACTACTCCGTCCTCTATCTGAGCCATTAAAAAAGAAGAAACCGTCCAGGCTTTAAAATAAGATAATCCGCAATACTAGAAAATGTACCAGTCATTGTGCATGCATCATTCGACGCATTTTAAGGAGTCCTATCCTAAGATGTCTAGATTTTCCTCTGTACAATTTTAGCTGTAGACTTTCTCGGGAAAAATGGTATAATGGGGTTGTAATGCACTGTCAGATATGTTTTGAGTGAATATGATAGGTGTATCAGATTGATAATGAAGGGATGTTGATAGAGTCATATAAAGAATTTACATATATACACCAAGTCGAAAACTTTACCAGATGGAATAAAACTAGATACCTTCTGTCAAATAGCTGTATAATGCTCTGTTAGCGTAGAAATTTGACGCAGTGTTCCTGTTCTATGACAGCCGCAAACACTTTGATGTTTCAAACGCGTCTAAATGAAACTTGTGCAGAAATGTGAATGCAATCATACTAAAAGACCACTTAGATTTACAGGAAATATATAGTCCTAGCCAATAATGCCAATGATTCCGATTCCAAGTTCATTATCCACGGTTATTACGATTTTTGGACAACTTTGATTTTTTCCGAATTTTTCGACCGAGATTTTTGCTGAAAAATCAGAGTCGTCTAAAAGTTTCCAAAGATTGTTCAGTGTAGTTTTTCAAGTCAAAATAAGGAAAACATCAGACGGATGTTTTCTGATGATGTTAACTCTTCTCCTTTGAGTTTCATTTTAGGGAAAATCAAAGACGTTGTTGAGAAGACAGATGGAGATGAATTAACATCTAAAGCATCTTCTGAAGATGACAAAACAACAACAAAATATTTGAATCAATCATCCAGTGATCGTCAGCCTTTCGTCAAAGGTCTTAAACCAAAACAAACCAAAGACGAAGTCAAATTAATTGTTGTGTCAAGACCTTGTGGATAAGGAAGCAAAAAATTTTAATAATCATAATTGTTAACGTGTTCGAGAACGAGTTACGCAGAAACCAACACAGTGGCGTCTTTAGATTTCGATTAAGCGTTGAATCAAGAAATGGTACAGGTGACCCGCATAATAAATAAGAGCAAAAAGTATATGAAAAATGAACAAACATTCACATAATTTTTCAAACACCATTCCAACTACCAGGGCCGCAAATAACGGGAGGGCGTATGAGAGTAGACATGCAAAAATACCACTACCATCAATACAAGTACTCGAAGTATTGATCGGTACTGATTACTTGGCTGCTCAGTGAATTTGTTACGCATGTGTTTTGACATGTCTGCAGTAAACAACTCGCTTGACCAAATTTATTCACGTTATCATACTTCTTCTTCTCGAAGCCAATGCACAACTATATAATTCGACAGCAGTCTTGGCGTCATGAACAAAATGCATCTGTGTCCTTTTCGTTTTTACAGCCTGCATTTTTTTCTCCATCGGAAAAAAGTATAAGTTGAGGTGCCATTACCTGAATTGCTGAAGTTTGTGTGTTGGGTTATGCCGACTTTTCTGACACCTTGTGATGACTCTTCACAAGGTACTGCAAACAGTCTGTAACGGATTGTTGTTTTATAGTGATAACTCGTTCACAGTATTGGTGAAACGGGAAAATCGAAGTTGCGTGGAACACCTCGACTCGCTGCGCTCGTCTCGATAATTGTCGTACTGTTATTATACAGATCAATGCGCATGTTTTGGAAATTTCTCTGGCGGTTATTATTCACCGATTATTTTCTGATGATCCTTAGGCGGTTCAGTTCACAAGATAATAACACTGCACACCTCTGAATAATATTAAGAGATCTGTCTTATGGCTTAGCGTCTCATCATAGTACAGAAGTATATCGGTATCCAGCACAGTTTCAGAGTAAACTCTTTACCAGAATTGGTATTTTGTTACCCACACTGATGCTCCGTGAACAGACTATAGACTATAACCTGCACAAACTGTAAATATCTAATTTCTAAATGCAAGAAAATGTAGCTTTTATTTTCAGAATGCCAAATACCAGTTTTCGAAATGCAAATTCATCGTCTTTTGGATTCTGGAATGTAAAATCAGTTATTTTTGCGTTTCAGAATGAAAAATGCCGAAATTACAGATTGCGTTTATCTAAAAGGAAAATGCCACATGTGCATCTTAGTCATTATGTGACAGTCATAAAAATGTCTTTTCCTCGTGTGCGGTTCATTAGTGTGGACAAAGCGTCTGAAGACGAATTGACGAATCGCAATATTTGTGTGTAAAAATGATACAATAATTCGCATTTTACCATTGTTTTGGGAATTCGCAGCGAATTCGTAATTCAGTGCGAACTGATGAGAACTGACAAAAATTATGAAAAAATAACCAAAAATGTGTCTCTTTTGTTTCTCTTGCCAATTCGTAAACTGGGACGAATTCGTAGGCAAGAAAATTCGGCTATCCACGAATTCGTAAATCGAATTGATCTACTATCAACGCATTCGTGAAATGATCTTTTTGGTCACCAAGAATTCGTAAATTGGCAAAAACACGAATTTACGAATTCGTCGGATATGCGTTGGCATCTACGAATTCGTAAATTCGCTTACTTCTCACCTCAGTTCGCCGTTATTTTTACGAATTCGTAAAATGCGAATTGATGTCAAGGACCACTAGCATTTCTATGAGGTTAAAAATAGGTAGATTTGTCTCTTCGCATCAATTCGCCGTTACTTTTACGAATGCACAGAATACGAATTAATATTAGGGACAAGAAATATTTCTATGAGGTTAAGAAAACAAGGAATCGTCTCTTTGCTTCAATTATTTCATCAATTCGTCAATAGATTTTCGCGACAGAAAACAGAAAGGAATCTCTCTCCTGTTTGTGTGCATGCGCCGGAGGGGAGGGGGGGCAGTGAAGATGTGGGAACCGTTGCGAAGAGTCGAACCTATGTATTTTCAACCTCATAAAAAGTTTCTGGTCCCTGAGAGCAATTCGTATTTTATGACTTCGTAAAAATAACGGCGAATTGAGGTGAGAACTATGCGAATCGATGTGAAGAGATGATTCTTACTTTTCTTAACCTTAGAGAAATGTGTCTTGTCCTTGACATCAGTTCGTCAAGCATATCTGACAAATTTCATAAATAGGAGTCGTAAATTCGCATTTTGTTGTCTAGAATTTTTCTATGAGGTTAAAAATAGGTAGATTCGTCTCTTCTCGACGCTTCGCATAGTTCTCACCTCAATTCGCCGTTATTTTTACGAATTCGTAAAATGCGAATTGATATCAAGGACAAGAAAGTTTGGGAGGATGGCTGTGAGCGTTTACGCAACAAGCCAAACGTGTTTCGCTGTATTTCAGTTGACATCAATTCGTATTTTACGAATTCGTAAGAATAACGATGAATTGATATTAGAAGTATCCATTTTTAACCGCTGGATCAGGTCGTAATACGAATTAATCTAGTTCTAAAAGCAGTGAACACTAATTCGTAAACTAATTTTACGAATTATTTGCGACTTGATCAGCATAGTGTCTGATCTATTCTATTACGAATTCGTAAAAGTTTTTAGGAGTATCCGTACGAATTCGATACAGTTCGCATCAATTCGCTGCGAATTCTCAAAATAAGTGTAAAATGCGAATTGTGGCATCATTTTTAAGCTTAAAAATTGCGATTCGTCAATTTGTCTTTAGACACTTTGTCCACACATCTCCATTTTGGAAACAAAAATTTCAAGAAGCACTTAACACTTATTTCTAAATTAAATATTAAAATTTTGAAAGTGAAGTAATCTTAAAATTCAAATATCTCGGCGCAGATTAGCTACCCAAGTTTTCTAAAAGATGCATCGGCTGACTAAAATTAACATATACTTTTTATTCTATTTCCGGAGTCTACAATCAAAACTGGAGTTATAAAAAAGATATAGGCCTTTTAACCTTATTTTGCCGGAGTTATACAATTTTCAAAATGAGTACCATCGACGATTTTTGAAAAATCGATCTGCATGATATATTGCCTATAACTTCGCCAAATTTTATTCGTTTTATTCAAGCAATATCTCATTTGAAAGCCCATCAAAAACGGAACAAATCCCGCTACTTTTGTAATTTTTAAACTAAAAAGTGCACTTATGGGAAATCACGCAAGTGAAAAATTTGATTTTTTCAAAAAATCCCTTGTTAAATGAGACAAATCCGTAAGAACCATATCCATCATATTGGTACTGATAACTTCGAACTGTTGGTATGACTTAGCAAAACGTTCTGTTTCCTCGGTGGACAACCGTCTATTGTCGACAGTGCAAAAGGCCTCTTGATTGATTTTCAAATTATATCAATGCAAATAAATAATTCACGAGCATCACCCGCTCTAGCGGCTAATCTAGGTGGCATACATCCGTTTACCAGTACATTCATCACATGGCAAATGCTATGCTCATCGGACTCTTAAAGTTGTGACGGATCTTATTATGCATTATTTTCTTCCTTATGAGCATTTCTGTATTGAATTAATTATCATATCGTTATTCGATGAGTTGTATTTATTTGTATATTGCACTTAACATGTTTGTAAGGCGAGAACAGAGAAAATACTCTTCCTCTGAGAAGTCACAAAACGGCCACCCTAACTGGGACTAATGACATAAATGTTAGGTTCCAGTCAGCTAAGCTAGAACACGGCAACACAATGAATAGTGACTTAAACTAAGTTAAGACATACTAAGGTAAGGTAAGTCAGACAAGAGCTTTTAAGATAAGACCAGATTAGATAAGGTAAGGTAAGGTAGAGAAGCTGGGAGAGGTTTAGAGAATTGTAGATATGGTAAGATAATGTAGAGAAGTTCGGAGAATTTAAGCTATGGTATGGTATGGTAAGGTAAGGTAGAAAAATTGAGAGAAGTTCGGACATTTGAAGATAGGGTGGGGTAAGGTAAGGTAGAGAAGTTGAGAGAACTTCCGAGAACTTAAGAGAATTTAAGACATGGTAAGGTAGCGAAGAGAACTTAATGTGCGATAACTTTAGATAAGGTTAGGTGTAGAAGTTAAGATATAATAAGGTAAGGCAAGGTAGTGCATGATAAGAGAAATTTCTATCGGTTGGAAAATACAATTAAGAAATAGGGTTTCGAAATACAATCAGTATGTAGTTTCTTGTGTCCGCTAGACGTGCTTACAAAATGGAAATAATTGAAACATGATGTTTTTGTCCTTAGGTTTTGTAGAAGCCTGTTCGGAAAACCGTATTGTTTTATAAACTTTTTATTGTTGCTTTCTTTTAAATAGAATATAAAACAGGCTAAATACCGTACATTCTGAAGTTCTGAATTCGTTCTGATGTTTTTTGAGTGAATTATGACTTTTTTAATAATAGGTAAAAACTGTAATTTTTGAACAACTTGGTTTTCGCCAAATTTTAAAACGTTTTTTTAAGAATAAATATTGGCACGAGATTCACCATAGTCGAAACTTATGTTTGCATGCATTGCTGAGATTCATTGACGGAAATGAAGAGCAGTTCTAGATTTCTCAGAAAAAAAAAAGGAAAATTTTTTATACAAAATAATGCCAGTAGTTACTGTCTACTAACCTACAATTTGTTTTTGTCTATCTTACCCGTATGTATGAGAAAACGTTGCTTTCCATCCTGATAGTCAAGGACAAGAAGGACAATGGAGTAATGTAACAGGCAGAATAAATTAGGAAATATTTGCCGAACAAAAAGAGAATTCCTATTCCAACACAATAATATATGTAGAAAAAGTGTATAGCTCATGCACACAGTTATTCCTATAGTATTTTTATGCATCCGTATAATATTTGCGAGTCTTTTTAAGTAGAAAAATCATGCAAACAAAATATACTATTGTTCAAGTATTTATTAACATTATGAATTAACTGTGCTTACAAGCTAATGCACACCAAAAAGGATTTCATATAATAATAGGTCAGGTAGGGGTGCTAGCCGATAAAAAGGTCGGCGGCGGTGCAAAAAAATCTTTTCAAATCTTTCTCGACTAAACGAATTTTTCAGCTAAAATACTAACTGGCCGGTGGCGGCTGCGACTAACATCTCTAAGCTCAAGAGACGGTAGACTCAGTATGCAGAAGATGCTCGTGTTGTATGCACTACAAAATAACAGTCACACAAAATTTTCTTTTATCGAATTTCCAAAGATCCTAACAAAAAGTCGCTAAGGGCTTAAAGAAGGAACACATTCGAAAACAGCTGCATTATGGATAACCGATAAAAACCTAAGCTTTAGCCTAAAAATGCTTCATCCGGCTCGGGAAAATGTTCTCAGAACTGCTGATGGTCGAAGAGCTCTTTAAAAAAGACATTTAGTGGCCAGTCCTCCTTCCAATCCCAACCGCCACCACTTAGTCTAGTCGACGTTCCAATAAATAATACCGCAATAGAAAACCATTATTAGGCTTAAAATAGGACATAACAGATGCGCCTGTCTCTGTAACCTACAATTCAACGATCCCAACTCAGGAGTCACTTTCTTACAGGGTTAAAGCATTTTTATTGAGTGTGGCGTACCGCATATACAAAAAACATCCTTTCGCAAATACTTGTCTTATGTCTCCGTAAAAGTCGATTCGACTTTTCGATTATATACTGTTGGATACAGTATTGAATTGTGAATAAAATGGTCTATGACATTCGACCTTTGTCTTCATCTGAGATCGTAGATCCGCAAAATACGATCAAAATCCATCATAAGAGAAACACGTTTTTTTCACATGGATTCGATCTTGTTCTCTACGCTCAAACGACCATGCATTTTTTATGCTAGTTTTGTAGAGCAAACAAGTCTCTATAAAAAAGACAAAATAAATGAATAAAAGTTGTGCATCAGGTTCCAAAAAAGTACTGATGTTAGATTGCGAAAACACCGTACATCATTGAGAAAAACTGCTTATTTAATATCCATCACACTCAATAAAATGAATGTGACCCCTGAGGAATTCTCAATTAACTTGTGGAACGTCTCTTAAAAGGCTTACTTGTGATTGTTGCTGATGTCAAAGTGTCCATGAATAAATCTATGTATAATATCCAGTAATGAAATGCAAATTAGAAACTTCAGTTACTGTTGCTCTTTTTATTTTCTGCAGTAAAAAATGAAACGGTATTCGTACTTTTTAGGCTTCTGACCCGATGCAATATAGATTAAAATATAAATTAAAATATAAATTCAATACGCAAATGCTTTAGAACGGAATGTTGATTTGCCATGAATTTAAAAAGATTGTGGAAAAAAATTGATTAAAACTTTAGTATAGCATTTTATTCTGCTGCTACCAGCGAATGAAAACTCAACCAAGTTTACTGGAACGACAATGGGTAAATCAGCCATGGACTAAGAACTATTTTGGTTATAACGCCAAGTGCACATCGACATATCGCTCGGTTGTTACTCCAACATTTTGGAGTGGAACAGACAGTGTATGGTCAGCATCTCAAACAAGTTTTGAACTTCGTTCGTCAAGTGTTAGCCGTGCAGATACCCCATGGTCGGTACAAAATCAAGAATCAGGAGTGGAGAAAAGAAAGAACGCTCGATTATTAACGTATTGTTTCAATGTCCCTTCTTTATCTCCGTATACAAGAATGTTGTCTGTTTCTAGATGGATTTCTTCAGCTGAAATCAAAGGTGCTAGTTTAGGTGTCTTAATTGGATTGACTGTTGCTGGAGTTGTTTTGGGTGCAGTCATTCCTTGGTACATAACACAAGGTAAAAGCTACATTACAGAAGGTAAGAGTGATTTTTTTCAACAAATGTTTTTTAAACTAGGTACAAGTGGGACAACCGATACTAATTCAACAAGTACTCTTACTACTACCACTTTGCCATCAGCAACAAATACAAGTAAGCCTTTTAAGGGACGTTTGTGAAGTTATTCCTTTCAGAATCGTTTTGCATCCAATGGTTAATAGCCAAAGAAGAATGTAACTGTTACACACACTTTATTTCAGTAAATTAACATCTATATATAGTATATTTTAGCCACAGGAAGATCTCTTTGGGAAACTGGGAAAAACAGCTACTGTACAAGAGAGAGAGAGAGAGAGAGAAGAATAGGAATGAAAAATACCCATGCAGTGCGCGACAAAAGTTTCGCCCGCAAACAAACTCGTCCATCTCACACATAGCAAGAACACAAGGAAAAGTGATACCATTATTATACATAGTACTCACTGGCAATCCATTATTCA